TTAGTCCGTCAGTCATAATCAACGTAGAAATTGGCACGTATGTGCATTGTTTCCAGTTGTCATTAGCATAGAGAGGCGTCAGAGTAGCAGAAGTAGTATGGATATTAATAGCGGTAAAAGTGATTAAACATGGAGATTATTCGAAATGAAAATATGGGTTCATGGACTAAAAAGTGCCATAAGTTAATTCGGGAACTGGAGATCAAGGAGAATAGAAGGTGTGAGTGCACCTGCGCCGTTAAGAACGATTCTAAGCCATTCCACCCAAATATATCTATCCATTAGCCACATAATCGTACAGAACCCAATCACACATTTTTCATCTACCTACATGGCTTAATTCAAGTGTCAATGACTTCATGAACCGATGCAATATGTTGTTTTTACCACTCCTAGATTATTCCTATACCAGCCAACCTAGCGAATCCAGGTTGGCGGCGATTGGGTGTATGTAAAACATGCCCCAAACCACTTCAGTCGACGAAGATTCACTACTTCATCAATAGATTTGCCATCTTCACTCAGTATCCTATGTATAACCTCAACAATGCTTACTCAGTGGTATCAATACCAACGAGTAGTGCCTTGAAGATAGTTATGATCGAATACCAATAATCCACTATTCTTAATGGGGATGCTTAACACCTATAACGTAGAACGGAGAGAACTGCTAGGTGATAAACTAATTGTTTTGCTGGTATATGAGTATCTTACCCACGCTACAAGAGACGTATTAATTACCTACTATTTATCTGATATACTCTAATTTTTTTTATTATTAGAACAGTCTTAGAAAAGACACTTCGAATACAGAATTGTACACATATTACCTTGGATGAAATATGTTATTTTAAAATGAGGAAAAATATCGAGTTATATAAGCTGTATAAAAAACAAACAAACATGAAACAGAAAATTCAGAACAATGTAACTTTAAAATTTCACCGTCTACAAAATTGTCACTAAATTCATTGGTTTCATTTTAATAACCTGACTACTTGGAAACTTTAGCGTTAAATGTAAAATGAAAATAATTTTAAACTTTTGTCTGAAAATCTCACGGATTTATATTCTCATATTTAATTAATTAACCTACAATAAACATGGTGCATACGATATTTGAATATTTGACAGTGTAAATTGTGAATTTATTAAAAACTTAAGTAAATCAATAGTATTTCAAAACACTGTGTATCATAAGATGGTGGTTGGAGGTAGTCAATAGGAAACCCTGGATCCGGGTTTCCTGCTATTTGGCACTCGTCAGCAAAGTGTACCTGTAATCTTGAGGGATCTGGTGCACGCAATGTCGAGTCACTTAGACAAGTGGCTACATTGCAGCTTGGTCGATAGCATTCGATCTGTACTAAGAAGGACCTGACACACATGTCATTGGTCACCAACCAGTGATCAATCAATTGTAAACTGTGTATCATAATTAAGAAATAACAATGATATCGAGAAAAAACTTAATAAATATAAGTAGCTTTTTGTTTTTTAATTTCTTACTGATGAAGAATTTAAATGTTAAGAAAAAGTAAAATCATATTAGATTTTAGGTATGAATTAAATAACAACAGATTACTGACAGTGACTTCAGTGAATAAGAATCTTGATCATTAAAACGAGTGAGTTGTAAAAAAAACGCTCTAATGTACAAACGAGATTTCGGTAAATTAATTAAATGAAAAAATGTTTGATTTCTAATTAAGATTAATGTATATCCATTAGTTGTACTAGAAGTGTTAAATAAATGGAATAGAATAATCAGACAGTAGATAAAGTTAAAGAAATTAATTAGACAACTAATTAAGATTTTCACAGTTTATATCACTGACTGATCTTAGTTAAACAGTTAGGATGTATTGGACGACTGGTTTGTCCTAGTATGTGACTCCTCAGTAGCGTGCATTTACAACCCAACTAGAAAGTTCTTGTGAATAGCTGTGACTAGTGAAATTGTATGTGGAACAGTTATCCAATGTAGGCAATAGAAGATGGTTGTGCAGCATTGGAAAGTAATTGACGTTAGACATTTAAACCATTGGGTGGTGACTTGGTGGTCTAAATGATAAGAGCTCACGGAGAGACCTATGGATGATGTATTTGATCGCTGGCGGGGTCGTGAATGTACTCTGATAAGGAAACTTATACTGGTACGAAACAGCGCTTCTTGGTTTTCAATTGTTGTTGACCAAAGTTGGTTGGTAATGTAAACAACAGAATTCAATAAACTCCACAAATACTTCACAATAATAATTGATATTTATGTGCTTTTCACAAAAGTTTTTATCAGATTATTGAATAAGTTAATACAAAGTCACTTAACGCAATAGTAAAAGCACACGAGTATTTCTATTTGTCATTACTTCGAATTCATCAATATTGGTTTCATGAGTCAAGTAGTACTGCAAAATCATGCATACTAGATATAACTAATAGTATAATGGAAGAATTAGCAATTTATTTTTTAAGCTGAGATTATCGTAAAAGGATCAAAGTAATCATAAAAGAATCATGATTAACATTACAAAAATGAGGTTATATTTGAGATATCATTAGACTATGCGTATTATATATGAAGTTCTCTTTAGTAAAGAAATGAGATATCATTAATGTAAACAAGCTGGTAAACAAAGTGGATACTGAAAAATTTTTCCAAATGAGATAATTGACTATAGGATAATTACTTGCCAAATTTAACTATTTTATTTATTACTTTATACAGTTAATTGTTTTCGTCTTGATTGAAATGTGTGCGTGTGTGAGGGTAGAATAAAAGAATTTTTAAAAGTACTGCCCGCAATTAAGCTAGGTTTTATAATCAATACCGTTAACAGAAAATGTGGTTAAATGCATATCATTTTTCTATTTTCTTTGATAATTATTTACATTGAGGTTGAATTAGTTGATGAATAGGACTGAGCAATGTATTCGTTAAATGAGACAGATACAAAAAAATCAGTGGTTTTGCTTTAAATATATTAATTTATTTATAACAATCCACCCAATGCTCAATTACCAAGTTAAAACTTGGTAATGGTACTTACAGTGGCTTTGATTATTTCGCCAGAGATGTTCCTCAGTCAAGTGATCATATAAAATATCACAGATTGTTGGCGAACAATAAGGACAATCTGAAAGATACTAATCAGTCTGGAATTAATCATAAACTATTCCCTTTTCCTCGTATGAGATTATAAAACAGTTGAGCAAACTTTGTGTAGAAATAAACAATGTCTACTTATGCAAGAATAAGAGGTCTCAAGAAACATTAAAACGATAAAATAACAATATCAGCAAGAAATATACTCAAACAATTTTTCATGATTACTAAGCCTTTGAATGTTTTCGATCAGAGGGAGAAAATCGGAATATTTAATTATTTTGGTCGAATTTCACTGTGCTGTAAAGTAGTTTGCCTATGATTAGTGAACATGTATTATTAAATAGACATATGTAAGCAAAGTGACAGAATCTAGTAATTTAGTAAAATATCAAACCGAGCTAGATCTGAAGTCAAACGTCAATCCAATGTATAACGGACGAGTTGACGAATAATACCACTTTTTTATGAGGGAACTAGGTGGAAGAAGCATGTACTAAAGAACGATTGTACTTGACTAGCGTTTGTTAGTTTAGCAAGGCATTTTATACTGGGTCGTAAGAATGATGCAACTAAGTACGTTAAAATGTTATAAAACACAGCTAAACATCAAAGTTGCTGGTGTAGAATTTCGTGTTTTGCATACAGAGTAAAAACTAATTTTGAAACAAATACAGTTTATATATCTTTACTTACGTCTGGACTGAAAAATTTATAATTTCTACTGGCATTACTATATAATTAGTTCCCTCAGTTTCCTCGTAATAATGCCACTTTTTTCCACGAAAAAATACTTAAACGAATCGGTTGTCAACAAAATTCAGATTAAACCGTCTAGAACACTTGACAAACCGTGAAACTTTAAACCCTAATCTTTTAACTGAAAGGCAGCATTGTAAAATAAGATGAACTTTGTATTTTGAACTACCAACCAGGATAGTCTGCAGTCTTAGCATAACTTTCAAATAAGTGTTAGTTAAAGTCTCGGAGATCAGAGTTAAAAATGTGGGAACGTATTTAACACCAGTAAGTATTACTGTCGTTGTTTTAGGTAAGTTGTAAAATAAGAACAAAGTGTTTTAATAAACTCCTAAAGACTAGCTATCACATAATTATCAAGTAAAGACACTTCTCCAGACTAAGTTAACGCGAAGTGGGAATGAAGTCAGTGTGTTCCTGAATTTCTTGGTTGCTTTTAGCACTGTTACCATCTTTCAGACATCGTGTGATATCTAGGATATACTACATTGTACTAAACAAGTTTATTATGAAAAGTGACTACTTTTGCTATTTTATAATGGTGGGGCAATTCTTGAATATCTAAAACTTTTTACGACAGCTATCTCGAGCTTTATTTTTACAGCTATGTATGTAACAAAGCAAACGTATTCTGAACGAGAAATCAGGGATTTACGCCTACTAGTTTTTGTCTAGCATTCGCTTTCCGTTTTATAGTTAAAACAATGGTAATAAAAGTATGTGGTTTGAATACCAAAACCAAGGGCTGAACACTAAAATTAGGTTAATTGCAAAAATAATACCTGTTTAGCAGCACTAACCCAAAATGACCCATGAAGCGATAACTTTTAGATATCCTGTCAAGAACAACACTGTATGTCTCAAGCAAAGTTAGGTTATGTGGATGTCGATGTTTAACTAAAAACTAATAGCAATGATAAATTGGACATACTGAAAACGTAGACCTATTTGTCTGAAATATTATAATTAAATAAACTTTGAATACTTCGGGATCACCAAAGACTTTTACCTAATAAAGCAGAAACTTAAATAAAAAATCACGTCACTGAAGTCGAATCCCTTAGCGAATAGTAGAACGATAGTGCAGAGAAATATATAAATAAATTTAAAGAGAGATTCACACGGAAACACTCACCTTGCAACCTTCACAAGAAATCACCCCATAGTGGTAGCCACTTGCTTTGTCGCCACATACCTTGCAAGGGGTGAATGTTGCCTTTATGGATCCAACGTTAGAATTACTATCAGCAGCAGATACTTCAGAACCTCTTTCTATGGTTCTAGACGATCTGCAGTTAACCAATGACCCAGGACCAGAGCTGACTGTTCCACAAGGCGTAATAGAATGATCGGGTACGCCGTTAGGAGAATCTCGAGGTGAAATTTTTCCAAGAGAATCTGTACAAGTTACATCACCCATATTAGTATGGCTGTTGTGAGGACCTAACTGGCGAGGTGAAGTAGTGATATGGAGAGGACGCAAATCAGAAGAATGGAACGGATCTGAATATGGAAACTGTCCATGGTCACGATGTTGGGAAAAATGACTTTCTAACGAACCAACAGAACCGTTGTGTTGATCCCTGTTGACAAGCATGGAATTTTGTAACATATCATGAGGAAATATCTGTGACAGACCATAGCTGTTGTTAGGAGCTGAACAAATAGTAGACGGAACCTGACGTTGGTAGAACGAATTTGAAACACCATGTGAAGACGTGTAACTTGAAGCATAGGCTGACGGTGGACTTGGTAAAAAACCCTGGGGAAAAGAATGTCTGGACGGCAAAGGATATGGATGATTAGCAGACATAGGTAAAGTGCTACAGTCCGAAAATCCTGGGTACGTTTTATTTGGGAAATTTAGATATGATTGATCAAGTGATGGGGAACCATTTGAATCTGTGCATCCAGGAAATCCAGATAACGGAGGGGAAGGAATGATTGAGACAGAGGCACTCGCATTAGTTTTTAAAGAGAAACTGCTGCTTACACCAGAATCAGAAAATGATGCGCTTCCAGGATCTGCTTTGAGGTCGAAATTTGATTCTGGGCTTATTGCCATCACTAATAAAAATTGATTAAATATGTGAAACTAAATTAGAAATTTGCGAATTATGTTTAGTTAAGGGACGTAAATAATGGATCAAATTAAGCCCTAAAAATACACAGATAAAGAGCAAAGGAATACAGTCTTACAAAACTAGTCTACATGCCAGAAACTCCAAGCAAGCCAAAACGTTTAACCACAGCGGCAAACTTGGGTTACCTAAGGTCGTTAGAGGATCTCTATTTGCGGTGCGTTTTAACAAAAACATGGTGAAGTACATGAATGTTATTACGGTCTACTGATAAAGTTGCTAAACAAGTAGCACTGTACATAATTTTTTATAGTTAAATAACGCTTAGACACACCATAATATTTGAGTAATAATTCAGAAGAATTTAGTCTTCAGCATTTAGTAGTTAGAATAGGAGGTTTATCGACCTATATTACTCCTTGAAATTTGTTACACTGTAGAAGCCCAATTCTCTTTGAATGTATCAAGAGAAGGAGCTGTTATTGTGTGTTCTAGTAGAGAATCCCAGTGGTCACTACTCCGGTACAGAAACAAAACTCCAGACTTGAACGATTGTATCTCAGTTTTTTTAACTTTCTTAGAATGTCCTCTGATATGATCGGTTATAGATAGAAAGGAAAGATGAGGCACATCAATACTGAGGTAATCGTTTAGTATACGATAAGCAAGTATTAGATCACTCCGTGAACTGCGTTAGGATATTGGCAATAAGTTGACATGTCTCAGTCTGTTTACATAGGATAGGTCAAAGAGACCTTTTACCATTTTGGTCCCACGCCGTGGAACTCCTTCCGGCATATCCGACTCACACTGGGGATAAATACTAACTATTTGAATCCCACACGTTAAACGCTACTTCACAAAATACAAGTATAATACCCCAAATATTTTTTTGTCCAAGTACTGTAATGGCTTACGAACAGACCAAAAGAACCTGAAAACTTTGTCAGTGACAACCTTGCAGGTGCTTTTAGCTTTAAGGTTTCTGTTTGTTATGACTCCTGGATCTTTATAGTCCATTGTCTTCGATAACAAAACCCCATATATTGTGTGGTGGTTATATTTTTTACATCACCACACGCCAATTAGAGATAACATACGATGACTACGTACTCATTTATGCTACCGGTAAATTTAGGCCGTCCTGTAATGTTCTATCTGACATACTATGTATGGGTCCGTAAACCTTTACGTCATCTGCAAAGAGTAGAACGGATGACCTTGCCACAATTTGTAAGCCATTTACATAAAGTAAAAAAGGAAGAGGACCGAGGATTGTACCTCGGGAAACTCTACATTCTTCAGATTTCAGCGCTGATGGGGCCCCATATGTCCTTAACTCCTGGTCTTCTATCACTGACAAAGTCAGTTATCCAGTCTACGATTCCACAACGTTGTCCCAAAACTTTCCGGTTTTGATTTGAGACTTAGATGGGAGACTTTGTCAAAGGCTTCACTTAGACCTATGAAAGTCAGATCTACAGATTAATATTCCTATCTTTCGCTGCAGCCCAATTTTCTCTTGCAATGGGCGGATTTATCAAGCGTGATAGGTCTTCTCTAAAACTGTATTGTTTTTGGATGAAAGACTATGACCGTCCACGTAGTCTAAATAGCCATTCGAATAATCGTCACCACTAATTTGACAACTACACTGGTTCGACTAACGGGTTTATAATTACTAAGTCTATGCTCTCTGTCCTACACACTGGACTGAGTATCGCGTCTTTTTGGTCTCTTGGCAGTCTGGAATGGGAAATATATATATCAGGCAGTATGCTCAGAGGTTCAGTAATTACATCACACATGGCTTTCATAATTCGTATATGAATATCGTCAGGACCACTCAAGCTATCTGGTTCGAGATGTTGAAGCAAGTGTAAGACTTGTTTCCTCAGAAATGGTTCATCGAATTATCTTAGTAGAGTATATTTTTATACATCAGTAATACTTAATTAATTATCTGAGCCTGTTGCGCCTCTAAGAATAAATCCGACAATGGATCTGCAATCAACACAATTATGGGGTCACCTCTTTCAGTTTTTATCAAGTGCTATTAACCGTCTTGATAAGTACTTTTTATTCCCAGAGCCTTTGTTGTTGAGTCTGCCTCATGTTCTTTGATTTTGAGAACTAAAAGTTGAAGAGTGTTTTTTTACACAGTTTGATGGTTTCGATAATCCGTGTCTTATTTACCCCCATCTTTTTCTAATTCCATCTCAGGTTGACGCTGGTGTGCAACGAATCAGAGGTATTTTTAGAAGTATAGAGGTTGTGGAGATTATTAAGTTTTTGATTAAGATCATGAACTGATTGATATTAGCTGTCTATAATTAAGTGTGTTATTTGATGATTGTTGTATTAGTTCCCCGAGTTACTGATCGACAAAACTGTGCTGCTTTACTTTCCAGGTTGAAAACTCTGATCTCGATCTTTAGTGAATTTTTCTCGAGTTGTAGATGTCTTTCAGTTTAACGAATACTGACTTTGCTTTACCGATTCGCACCCTAACATCTGCCCCATGTTCCTTTGTTTACCGACAATACTGCCCATCTCATCAGGAGCTTCACTATTAGGCGTTATTTAGCTACTGCTCGCTGTTTATAGTTCGTGAACTTTCTCTTAGCGTTGTGCATGATGAGGCGTACTTTAAAATCCCTCAACTACTACCTGTTTTTACTTGTATTTATTGATATATGTGACATAGAGGGGCTTAGCAGTCTTCAAACTCCAGCAGCACCCAAGGTATCTACTGAATTCATAGCTTCTTAGATGTGAAGGTCTTCACAATTCGGTCAACAATCAGGAGAAGAAACGGCCTGAAAAGAGAGTTTTGTCCAGTATTAGTCTTCGCCTGGAATGTTACCACGAACGACTCTGCGACCTAGTCTCTCTTAAGAGTACTGAATGATGGTGAAAATCTTTGCAGGCAATTCTCAGTGTAGAAGAAAGTTTCATAAGTTTCCCCTGTTAACGTAATCGGGGAATTTGACTCATAATGATGGACATCATGATGTCATTCACAGAATAAAGATCCATAATGTCGCTATCTGTTCGGCACATGCTTATTCTTTACGAAATTCACAAAATTCAATCACTCCACTTCGTAACCCCGAGTTCGGTCATACACGACCTTATGTCAATCGTTCAACAACATACAACAATGAAGGCAAATAACTTTGACAGAAGTTGAGCAACGGAAACATACACAAAGGTTCTTAAGAAGTACGAAAGATGATTCAAAGGGGCCTAAGTCGAAGTTTAGCTGCAAGACAATGTTGTTCTATAAAACACTTTGGAGAGATTTTAACAGTATTCCATCCTTTCCCTCCCATTGTAACCAAGCTCTTTTTTATTAAAGCTAAAAGTGTTGATTACAGTGTCGAAATACACAATCTTTAGAATGCTGCCTTTGCGCAGCGATGATATTTTGAACGTGTTTATGAAGTATTTTACGTTCATTACAAAATTAATTTAACGTTAAGCTATCAGCTGATGGTCGGTAGAGCTCATTAGTTTAAGTCAATATTTCTGAGAAGCACATTGGATGATTATTAAGTACGCCCTTCTTAACATCAAGTTTGAGAGTGAAAAAACCTGAAATAATTTTCGAACATGTTATAAGTGAGATAAACCAGCAAATTGTTTTCGCAGCTTTAACCTACTTATGTTGTTAAGTTAACAGTTATGCTGTAATCTGATATATCGTAAACGCTTATCCTGTTATCGGTTCAAAATAACATAGTAAGAGTGAAAAAGAAATATTAAGATAAGGGCCAGAGCTAACAGCAAAGCAGCTGACAGAACGTTGCTGTGATATTTTAAACAGGTACACCAGCCCATCCTATGGTATTGAAGGAAAACATGAAAAGGATGAAACTGTTTATTTTTAGTAGCGATTTTAATATCAGTTTCAGAATGCTTTCCTGTCAAATTCATCTGATCCACTAGATATCAACTAATTCTCGTTCAACACTCCAAACTGTGCAACACTATTTATTGTTGTTTTGTTGCATCTGTATACATCAGTAAGTCAAAAAATACTGTTGAACGAAGTTGTTACAAAGTTGACCAAACGAGTTGCACAACTCAAATTAAAACTAACAAGAACTCGTCAGTAAGTTCAGCTTGCTATAGGCAAATTATTTTTAAAAGTGTTTGATTTGGTAACTAGTGAATAGTCCATGAAACTGGATTTGGAGTGATATGTTAAATTTTGTTAACAACAAGTTTTCAAGTGATGCATTTCAGATGGCCTGTTGTGCCAGCGATTGTATATTTTCCATTTCCTATTCTCAATTCTGTTGTCTGACTGCACTTTCATAGAAGTGACATGAAAGACTTGCTCGATCTCCCCATGTAGCAGTGATTCTTCCACAAGTGAGAACAATGGAATGGAAATTCGAAGCTGGAAATACATTAACCAAGAGGATGTACGCTCGAAATAAAATGGTGTGTAAATAATAATGAAGGTCTAAAAGGGTCAATACGTAAAATTATCGAGACCTTGTAGTGGCATTAGACAATAACCACACAATCCTCAAAGCTGAACACGTGACTACTCGGAAAATAGATATTCAATATTTAACGCGGAGAAATACCTAACGATGAAGAAGGCGGGAAGAATGTGTTGAATGAATTGGAGTTGATTGAATGGCATGGCTCGGCCATGCAGGCGTGGTCTCTGCCGTATATTACCTTATATCTTTTATTCATATTAAATATATTATTCTTTCTCTAGCCTAAGCTTGTTCTTTATCATGTATTGGCAGTTGTTACGATACAGTGAGTTGGTGTAGACGATGATGTGACTTCCACGTAAGATCTTATAGATTAGGCAGTTATATCATGACAAACCTACAATTTTAGGATTAGGTCTATTATTACAGCAGCATTAATATTATAGTAGACCATAGTTCTACATTGGTTAGCCCGACTAAAGAAACGCAACCTATTACTAATAATCCTCATTTCCACTTTAACCTTCTTGAATGATTTTATATTCATGTTAACCCAGTATGCTCATGTATTATCGTAATGCTATATTGATTATTACCCATAACATACTAACTCAATCGATAACAATAACCGGTTATCTATATCAATTAGCTTTGATGGTTCATTAACAAGCTTTAATAGCACTTAAATACTTCTGCGAAATAAACTTGTTTAAACATCAAGCT